CATAATCCCCCCTTCCACCAAACTTTACACTTGGCACAATGTGGTCAGGCAAGTACCATTCTCCTGGCAACTGCCAAACCCAGACACGTCCATGGGATTGCCAGACAGAGAAGCGTGATTCATCACTCCGGGGAAGTACTGTACATCCGTAAGTAAAATGTTGTAAATGCAGGCAGTTTAAAGTAGAACTAAGGGCATTTCATTTTTTCATTTTGGATAGAGTAAAGGGGGTTATAACCCCCTCTTTTGCCATTTGTGTCCCTTTAGGGAGACTTCCCTTTGCGTTCTGTGTCATAACCATAATAGGAAGTGAGAGGAAATCCGGTGTGTCACCAGGGTCAGACTGGGTCAACAGAACTAGTGTCCCCATTGGAAAATTTGCCCTCTGTTCCCGTTCTGGTAAGATCCCCAAACTTGTGATTTTCTATCACTTCCACTTTCTATCACTAGTGGTAAACAGGACAAACAGAGAGGGCGAATCTCCCTAATGGGGCACAAATAGCAATAAAAACTGTCAAGAGTCCTAATCCCTCTCCACTCTATCCAAAACTAAAAAAAAAACGTTTTGCCTTTTGTTATACTTTAAATACCTGAATTTGACAAAATATCAGCTTCTTGTTATCCCTGTACAGTACAGCTAAAGCTGGCCATACACATGAAGATTTTTGGACGAGAATATTCGTAAGAAAAGTCATATGAAAACTCTTTGAACATTCGATGAATAGATGAATGTCGTTCGAATATTGGCTTTTGTTTTAACATTTGATTTTAAATAGAATGTAATTTCTGAACGATAACCACATACACTGGCCGAAAATTTGTTTGATCGAGAAAAGTTTTCCTTCCAGCCCCTTGAATTTTCCCGTCACTGCTGTCGAAAACAAACATCGATTTGACCCCACTAACGATTGGAAAATCAAACGAGTATTCCTGAAACAAAAATTCTTGAATTAAACTCTATATGTGTATGGCCAGCTTTAGATTGAAGGAAAAAGAAAAGGCACATGGAGCCAATAGGTTGTGCTGCAGTGCTAGGAGAATGCTAATAGGAAGAGAGAGCAGAATGACAGAGAGATGAGCTCATCAGTCTTCTGCTTTTCCTTTTACTATCAGGCCGTGGGATTTTTAGGCTGATAATTTCTTTGTGAGTGGGCAAATATTCAAAATCAGCAGGGAATCAAGTACTTATTTCCTTCACTGTATAAATAAGCACTTCCCTTAATTCATGAAATTTGAGTATTTGTATATCCCTCCATTCCATTGTGCAACACACAAATAATGGAACAAATTATCTATAACATCTATGCAGAATCCTAAAAACGAAAAATGATATTTAATGAAACGTTTATGCTCCATTCACGCTTGTACAACTTCAAAATCGTGCGATTTTCATCGCAACGTTACAGTGTGACTTGATGCGACTTTGGCGCGACTTTAATGCACCTTTGGATGGGTGCAACTTTGGTTTTGACCAAGGATGATTGTTTGTGCTGTACAAAGTTGCACACATGTTGCATAATATTCAGTTGCGACCTTGAAAGGTTTGCATTGAAGTCTATGTCCCTCAAGTAGCATAAAATTTGGACCATTGTAGTGCAGAGACTACTTGAAGTCACACAGATATGAATGGTACTCATTGGGAAACATGAGGTGCAACTTGTTATGCGAATTTGGAGCCCAAAGTCACATTACAAGTTGCACAAGTGTGAATGTGCTCTTAATGTACAATCATACCAGGAGCACCTTTTTACCTGCTGAGCAATTCAGTTTTCATCCAGCCTTTTATGTGCTGCACCAATTCACTTAATTCCCATTTGTCTGTAACCTTGTGATCCTGGAAAATACCCGCTGGTGATGTTGGAACACACTCCTTGCTACCTCTGTTGAAAAAAGAGATGGTACAAAGAAGATGCGTACAGCCACAAGTTGAATTCATATCTGATTTGGACATGTGTTTCCATTGCTGATGTAGGAAGCACTGAGAGAGGAAGTGCCATTTGCTTCTTCACATATGAAGTGCACACCCACGTTTGTGCCTATTCATTTAAAGCCCTGATAAAGGGAATGCAGATCCACGGAAAATGTGACTTTTGGAAATCAATTTTGCACTGCACAAGAAACTTACAATCCACATTAATAATTATTGTTCTGCATTCACATCGTTGTGTGGAGTAAGGAGCCATCTATTGGGCATTCACTGCAATTGCAGTCTATTAATATCCTGAAACAGGAATCGGGATGTTTCACTCATACATCAGTCCAGTTTAGCTCCCAGAACACCAGTGAAGGCCTCCTTTCTCCCTTTGATACACATATGCCTGTGTTGGTTAAAGTCACATACAAAGTTAGATCACATTTAAATGTATTCAATGTGATTTGTAGGTAGCTGTTAACAGGAAATGTGTTCAATGTAACCATTTGTGAGAGACATGTAACAAGCATATTGTAATTTCAGTTTATGCTATTGTATTGCAGTTTTACAGAACAATTCACAGAAGGTAATTCTGTTTTGGAATGAAACACAATGTTGCTTCTGTCAGTTTTGTTAGCTAGCTATCAGCAAACCGTTTGTAGGATAACATAATTATGCTACCAAAATCAGTGCATGCTGTAAATTACAATATGATGAAATGATGCAGGGCCAATGAATATAAAAAAAAAATAAAAAAAAAGAGTTAATGTTGATCAATGTGCCATACACGACCACTCCCCTTCTTTGTGTGACCTAGAAGGCAACGTCCATCACATCACTTCTAGCTCACACTTTACTGGCTACACCGAGGAAAGATGTATTGCAATGCGATTTGCATTGCAATACATTTAATGGAGCCATTTTAGACCCTGTATCCCTCACTAAAGAGAACCTGTCACCAAAATATCACATAGGGGAGTTTGTGTCCAATATGTGAAGAAAAAAAAGTTAAGTTTAAAAAAAATATTTTTTGGTAAAAAAAAAATAAAGTTACACCCAAGCACATAAAATCCCCCCAAAAAGATTTTTGAGCCCCAACCCCTCATATATGCAGGTACAAACGTAAACGCACACACCAGGGTGGCTACATGTGAAAATGTCGATTGCAATACACATGTAACATATCTCCGGAGTGAGAGCATTCATTCTAGCACAAGACCTCCTCCGCGACACTAAACTAGTGACCTGTAGGGGCTTTTGAAGCGTCGCCTAGAGAAATTTAGGGTACTAACATTTGATGCAATTTCATAGGCTCTCGCAAATTTAAGGTTTGGCATGTTAGGTATCCATTTACTCTGCATGACCTAGTCTTTTGTATATGTTATAAAAAATGTATTGCATTTGTTTGCCCTAAAATTCACTTGGATTTCTGGAAGTGGATCCTTGCAATAATTAACTTTTTGCTTGAACTGAACACACTTTTGTTTTATTGTTCACAAGTTCATATAGTATGTAATTATGTATTTAATAGTATGATTTATATGATTTGATGAGATCACTGATTCTGTCCATGTGTAACTGAAGTATAGTAAAGTGTTTTTTACTATGCTTCAGTTTGTGAATGAACAGGAAGCTCTGTACAGAACTATTCCTGTCCATTCATTCCATGCAGCTGAGGATGCAGAGATGGAGATTGAGGGCTGTGTCCTTAATCCCCTTTCTTTGACTCAAAGTTGGAACATCAGAGTTTGGCTTAGACTCTCGTTATCTCACCAACCCCCCCCCCCCAATGGGGCTCCTACAAAAAATAATTTAAACAATAATAATTGTTAAAAAAAAAATAAACAAAGTGGTAAAAAATAATTAAAAAAATTAAATAGCAAAAATTAAATACTACTGACACCGGAGGCAGATCTACCAGGGTCACAGAGGTTGTACTTGCAACCGGGTCCTGGTGCTCCATCACCAGGCTTGAAAGGAATGGATCCCGGCTGGGGATAAGGGGGGCCTTCATGGTTTCTTTCACCAGGGCCCTGAAAGTTTTAGCTGCAGAAGGAATAAAACAAGAGCGCACTGGCCTAGTGCATTATCACAGATAACTGTTTAACCGCTTCCCAACCGCCCCATAGCAGAACTACTGCTACAGGGTGGCAGGACTGTGCAAAATCACATATATATATGTGTAGTTTTGCATTTCTGGGTAGGGGGAGCACGCACCTCTCTACCCTTGCAGCCACTGGTGGCTACAGCTGTCGATCTCCGGGTCCCGACTGAAAATTCCCTGCTGGCACCCGCTGATCATTGAGGAACACTGACAGGGGAGATGTCTGTATGTAAACAACACAGATCTCTCCCTCTCAGCACAAGTATGCTGCTTTGTATTGCTGTGCATAGCAAAGAAATACAAAACAGCATGCTTACATAGTAAAACACACACAGTTAACCCTTTGATCGCCCCAGATGTTAACCCTTCCTGCCCAGTATCATTAGTATAGTGTCAGTGCTTTTTATTAGCTCTGCTCACTGTATTAGTGTCAGTGGCAGTTAGTCAACCTCCCCCCCCCAGTGTCAGAATGCCCGCTTTAGTCCTGCAGTCTCGCTATAAGTCGCAAATCGCCTCCATTGCTAGTATTAAAAAAAAAAATCCAGTATATATACCGTCATTTGTAGACGCTATAACTTTCATGTAAACCAATTAATTTACATGTATGGGGATTTTGTTTAGCAAAGACATGTAGCAGAATACATTTTGGCCTAAATTTATGACGAAATTTGATTTTATAAAAAATTTTTTTTTCCTGGATATGTTTTATAGCAATAAGTCAAAAATATTGCTTGTTGTTTTTCAGAATCATCTGTCTTTTTTTGTTTATAGAGCAGAAATAAAAAAATAGCAGAGGTGATCAAATACCACCGAAAGAAAGCTCCATTTGGGGGAAAAAAAGGACATAAACTTAATTTGGGTGCAGCGTTGCATGACCGCGCAATTGTCAAAATAACGCAGCACTGTATCTCAAAAAATGGCCTGGTCAGGAGGGGGGGGATCCTCTGGAAGGCAAGTGGTTAATAAAAACGTAGATAACATTGTACTCACAAACAGGGGCGGACTGACAACTCATGGGGCCCCCGGGCAATAGGGGATCACGGGGCCCCTGTGTCCTTGCCCAAACTCAAAAAAGCCTATGAAAAAGGTACCAGGGGCATCTCATGGGGCCCCCTACTGACCCCAGGCCCTCGGGCAGTGCCCGAGTTTTCAAATGGTCAGTCTGCCCCTGCTCATAAACAAGTTTTGACAGTTTGCATAAAAATTGACAGTCACAAAGTCCATTTCTCCACAAAGAGCCAAAGGACCTGAATTCAGTGAAGTGCCATCCAAAGGCCAAATGCGGCTGACGCGCTTCAAGGGCAACCCTCTTCCTCAGAGTCCTGTCAGTTTCTATGCAAGCCTTGCAGCTCTCATAAACAACAGGGAGCGTCCAGAAGCGACTACAGAAGGAATAATACAAGAGTGCACTGGTCTAGCGCATTATCCCAGATAACTATTTAATAAAAACATAGATAAAATTGTACTCACAAACATGTGCATAGAAACTGACAGGACTCGGAGAAAGTGGGTTATCCTCGAAACGCTTCAGCCGTATTTGGCCCTTGGATGGCACTTCATTGAAGTCAGGTCCTTTGGCTCTTTGTGGAAAAATGCACTTCGTGACTGTTTCTTTGCGAACTGTCAACACTTGTTTGTGAGTACAATTTTATCTACATTTTTATTAAACAGTTATCTGGGATAATGCGCTAGGCAAGAGCTCTCTTTATTCCTTCTGCAGTTGCTTCTGGATGCCCCCTGCCGTTTATGAGAGCTGCAAGGCTTGGCTTACCCGTCGGAATCTCGCATACGTCTATCTGATCGTCACCGAATATTTCCCTCTCAAGCCTTCCACACTTATGCTCAGGAGCTGTTGAAATTATTTCACTTTTCCATTGAAAGTTTTAGTTTCACATCTGGGAGGTCCATGTTCCAGCTCTGATACCCCGACAGGGTACCCCTAAAGGGAAACCACGTGTTCTTAGTAGATTTACATCCTTCTGCAACACTTACTGTCAGCTCCCATGTGGAAGGCCCAAGAGCCCCGATAGCCTGCCTCCCCTTGTATTTATAGTTCAACCACAAGAGGGCAGAGCTATGAAAACCCAGGAGTTAGCAGTCTTAGGCCCCATGTACACCTACAAACGTAGATTAAAAAGCATCTGTTTAGCCACGTTTGCATAACGTGCTTATGTGCGTTTGCATTTAGAAGCTTTTTTTTAAAGATAAGCACAGGAGAACCTCCCAAATGCCCAGAATGCACTGAAAAGTGGTAAGTTATTAACTATTTCAGACTCTTTCAGAGAAATACAGAGAGTAGAAGCAGAGACAGCAGTATGTGTTGAAATTAGCTTAGGTGTGGTCAAATGGCTGACGCGTTTTGGGGACGAATCCCTTTCCTCAGAGCTGATGACCAACCTCTGATGCTGATGTATGATGAATGGAAAGTAAGAGCCTTGCTGTTGATGCCTGAGTGGGATGGTGTAGGAGTCAAACACCATCCCACTCAGGCATCGAAACATGTCAGCCATTTGACCGAACTGACAGTGAGAACACCTTGCTTGCCATTGTGGCCATTGTCATTTTTCTATGCTTTTTAGATACATGCTTCGTCTGTGAGTATGTTTTTATTATTCTTCCACTCCTACAATAAACTTTGGATAATGCACTAGGTGTGTGCGCCACCTGTTTTCTCTCTATTGAGTTGCTCATTAACATTTCTTTTGTTTCCAAGGGTGGGAAAGGTGTCTGGTGGAGTGAGTCATTAAGGTCACCTGGCAGGGGGTCTTCATGAGGAATTTGAGGTGTGAATGGTTATTAACATATCTTTTGTTTCCAAGGATGGGAGAGGTCTGAGGTGTGAATTGGTCATTACAATGTGTGACAAGCTTGGTATGAACATCCTGTGTTCAGTGTTTTGTCCATCTAAGTACCTTGAAAATGCTTGGCATGCATGAAAAAAGGCTCTGGACAGCATTGGGAACTGGAAGAGTTAAAAAAAAAATGTCATACGCAAACGCTAAATGCAATTTGCCACGTTTAGCCATGTTTACAAGCGTTTTGTGTTTGAAATGCTGTTAAAATCTACTGCTGAACGCAAGATTTCTGCGTTCGAAAAAACTACTGTAAACTCAAATGCCTGTAAACGACTGTAAACGAAGATGTGTACATGGACACATAGGAAAACATTAGGATGAGTTCAGGGGCTGCTGAAAAAGATGCTGAACGTGAGTTTATCAGATGCAGTGTACATGAGCCCTTAACCCTTACCTAACCCTCTGTACGGAGCTCCCTTAGGCACACACAGTACAGTACAATGACGAGGTATTGTGCACCACATAAGCAGGCACCCACCTACAAGTCATAAAGTGCCAATGGGGGGGGGAAGAGTGGTTAGGGGGGTCACCTATTTTTTTTTGTTATAACCTGTCTACTGCATTAACTCAGTTATCGCATGTTCTCTCAATAAGTAAACCACTATTATCATAAAAACACCAAAATGTATGTGTTCATCTCAATCTGCCCCTGCTACATTTAAAGTAACATTAGCTTTATTTGTTCCCCCCTTCATACATGGAGGAAAAACTGATAGCACCAGATCCTTGTCCATGGCTAGATAATTAATGGAAGCTTTTAGCTGTGAAACTTTATCTGGCAGTCTATGTGTTCTAAGCTGTGGTAGCGGCTTTCACACAGGTGTCTAATACCCAAGTGAGCTTACAACTCTTTTTATTTTACAAGTAAAGGTTTCTACAGGTGATGAAACAACCAATCAGATTCTTCACCATGAAAAAGAATACAGACCCGGCAATGGTTTATTTAAACAAGTAAGAGGACTGCGGAGAAAACAAGACAGGGAATCTATGTGTTCTGAAGGCTCAGAAGGTCAACTTCCATAATTAGTTTGGTTGAGCCAGGCAATATTCCACTGTCATTACGGCAAAGATCGGACATAAAGCAGAATGAGTCTTTCAAAGCCTATGTACGTGATAGGAAAAGGATTTATAGCACAGAACACAGAGAGGAAGTCAAGTATTTAGTCCTGTTGTGTGCACATAGAGCCAGATGACTCCTGAAATATGTATTGTATAGCAGCTGGCAATTTAAAGGTGATTTCCATATTTTATGAACTCTTCCCCTTTCTCTTTTATGGTTTACAAATCTTCATTTCTCCCATAGGCTTCTGGTAAATGGAAGCTTATTGCACTTCTGTCTAAATCATTCAGTAAGGTGAAGTCCATCCATTAAGGGAAACAAATACCAGAACAGCCATTGATATTTCTTTTGAAAATGCTAGCTGGCCCTCAGACATGCTGATCTTTTCAAATCAGTGCTTTTGGGGTTTTCTGCTCTGGAACAATTATGTAACCAGTGACGTCAGTAATCCTGATCTGTATAGTGATTTCAGGTCAGCAACATATAGTATTGAAGGCTTGAGATCAACATTACAGCTAGCTTTTCAGAAGACATTAGCGCCTATATTTTTATCAGCGCAGGGTTCTTTTTTAATATAAATGCAATGTTAATAGCCGGCAACTCAATTACTTACTCTACTCTACTTACTTGCAATTACTTGCTCTACTCAAAAATTTATAAATCCATAGGTAACAGCTGGCAACTCAATGTCTTCTTATAGATGCACTTTAGTGGTTACAAAAATGCAGGAACAATGTACAAAATGCAATATGTTTCAGCTTATAGAGCCTTCTTCACGGCATGCTGTGAAGAAGGCTTTATAAGCCGAAAGTGCACGTGGTGCATTTTTTTCATTGTTCCTCCATTTTTGTAGCCAATAAAGAACATCTATAAGAAGTCATTGAGTTGCCAGCTATTACCTTTGGATTTATAAATTTTTGAGTGGACGTCCTAGCCGGAGCACCAAACTCCTGTCCCTGCATGTCTAATATAGATGTAGAGCTTGGGTACGTTTTTCTTCCTTTTTTTAATATCATTTCCAGCCCTGTTGTTTCAGTTTATGGAAGGTCAAAAATTGTTAAAGAAGACATTTTGGATTAAAAAAAAAAAATAAACCTACTATCATGTATCTGGTGCTGGAGGCCAATGGAGAGAGGGCTTCCCTTGCGGCTAAGTTCCAGACTCCCCTGGAGATGGGACAGACGGAGTCAGGTCCAAAGTAGCATGGGTCACCTGCAGGAGTGCTTGTAGAGATGATTTGACTGAGGATGCTTGACAGAGGTACACCCAGGAGCACAGCTCATTCACTGAAATGTTGTCTGCAGGCAGGTGGCACCCATGAGAGTTAGCAGGCCTTCAGAGTGGTAGAGGACAGCAGAGTAGTCGGTTCATAGCCAGGGTCAGATGCCAGGTGGGGATTAGAGCAGACGTAGTCAGATGGATAGCCAGAGTCATACACAGGAGAGCAAGTGAGAACATCCATTATCCAAGCCAGGGTCATACACAGGAGATCAAGTGAGAATATCCGTTAGCCAAACCAAGGTCAGATCAAGAGAGAGGCAGAGAAGACAGGTCCAGGAACAAGCCGAGTCAGTAACAACAGCCAACAATAGCAAGGTAATATGGGACAAAGGTACTGCGAACCAACAATTTGGTGCCAGGTGGCCTTTATAAGGAAGGCCATTGGTCTCTCCCAAACTGGGTTAATGAGTGCGTAACTGTGCGCCCATGCGCATGCGTGTTCCGGCTCGTATCCGTGCACCAACGTGCATAGATGTTCGCCAGGGTGCATTTCTGTGGCCATGCAAGGTACTGGCAGTAATGCCAGGTCTCCGAGTACCTCTGCTGTGGACAGAGCCCTGACAGCTAAATAGTGACCTCCATGTTGCAACATCAGTGTGATGCTGCAGCTGACCCACGTTGGCCAGGAGAGATTGCATTGCTCAGCTCTTGGTCTGCATCGCCAGGAAACTCTGCTTTCGGTCGGACCGGCCAGGCCACAGTCCACTCCCCTTGACAGACACTGTCAACATTTTGGGCCTACACACCACTGATTCTGCTTGAACTGTCGTAAGTGCCCTGGTTGGGTTAGCTTTGTTTGTACTGTATGCCAAGTTCTGCAATACATCGTTTTTGGAAATTCGGAACTCTTTGTGCTTTCTGACACCGCACCATGTTGCACCTATCCAATATGTAGATTAATGTTTCTCTGCACAATGCCTTGTTCCAAAAGAATGGTAATTTATGTCCCTTTTTATAGCTAGGAGTGCTCAGCAATGAGTATTTATTTAAATATTTTATCAAATAAAAGCCTTCAAAGTAATTTCAAAGCAATGTAGAGTCAGAGAGCCTAGTCTTGTCATCTAG